TACGTAAACCTTTAATTAACTTCCAGCTCTCAGCACTTTTTCTCCCCCCTAGGTAGGTGTTAATTCTAGAACAGTTGCTTTCCCAAGCTTCATTCTTCTTCCGTGTTATGAGGCTCCTAACTTTAGACTGAGCTTTCCTGTAAGCAACTTTATCTTCAGCCTTTTTAGACGACAGAAATATAAGATGTTTTTGCCTCTTGAGATTTATCTCGTCTTCAATTTCTTCATCCCACCAGTAAGGATGCTGCTTTTTATTACTGGTTTTGCAAATACCTAGGGCTTCTTTAGCTGCAGAGTGGATACAATCTTTAATGAAATGATATTGCTCTTCAGTGGTACCCGAAAGCCCATCCCCCAACTTCTCATCCAAGCGTTTCCGATACAGAGCCTTGACACTAGGGTGCTGCAAACTTTCGATGTTGTATCTTACCTCACGCTCTTGCATCCCCTGTCCCTGCTGTTATTTTTTTAACGTTTGATTTATTTATATATTGTTAATTATTATCATTATATGAAATAAAAATAAAAATTAGAATCATAAACACGGAACAAAGGAAACATCGATGCTTGAAGAAACACAATTTTTTGGCCCAAATTGTCCATTTTTATCTGATATAGAATGTAAATTCCTTTTCGTAAACAGTAAATGGTAAAAAATAAAAAAACCGAACAATCTGATGCTCTACGCATTCCACAGACCTGAGATAGCAACAACATGAAAAAGTAATTCTGTGGGCTGTACTTATACCTAAAATTCGGCTCCCCAATTAATCAGCGTGGATAGCTGGGTCAGTAGGACACTCGGTCCGTTGTAAGATGGTCCCGCGGTTAAGTCCCGATCAGGTCGAATAAATTTGAAAGGTCGGATGGGACGGTTCTGGTGTGAGAGGAGTGAAGGAAGTAGAGAACAAACATATTTTCATGTAAATCGTGCAATTCAAATAAATTTACTACATTTTTTTGCAATTTTAATTTCTTCCGAATACTGTGACAAGACAAGTCTTGTTCCCAGAACTAGGCAATTTTGTCACCGTGACTAGACTTTTGACTTATGCAACAAGGAAGTCTTGTTCCCTGAACAAGACTGTATGGGTCCCATGAACTAGAATACCTTGTGGATCAAATGTAACAAGACGGTCTTGTCTGAGAGACTAGAATCCTTGTTTCTCGGACAAGGCACTTTTTTCAGTGTGGGGGAGAATTTAATGAGTAATTTTGCCAGAATTCTTCCCACAGAGAATTGTATAATCATATGGAATATTCAGTAAAATGTTTAGTGAAATGGATGCATTCACTTTCTTTACAATGAATAAAATACTAGAGGAGACTCTGAAACATTGCAACCAAGAAGTGCCCTTTTCGCATCCGGTGCCTCAATTTAAATTAGCCTACGAATCAAATTTGCAGATGACTTGGAACAAACATATCGACGGTGCAAGTCGGCGATCACATAACTCGTTTGCAGTGTCTGAAAATCTCCGCCTCGATGTTATTTTTTTAAAAGAGAACTAATTGACATCATTCCTTTAAGTTTTTGCAGAATTTTCTTCGCCTAATGAAGAAAAATCATGGCAGTTTTAAAGAATTGCCGTTGAATAGTTTTCCGTTTAAAAAATAAAGTACGACAGGAAGTCTGCGACGTCGCAAACCGAGTTATGTGATTGCCGACTTGCACCGTCGATATGCCAACTTTCCCGGAATATGTGCGATTTTTACCAACTGAGATTTGACATCTTAAGGCTCACGAGACGTTTTATATTAGCATAACGACGTTGCAGATTAGCATAGATTATGCTCTTAAAATCTGGCCTTTTAACTCTGGGACACAATGCAGGCTGATTGTTGAAATTTATGGTCAAAGCGATAGACAAATAAGACACGGGGAAAATGGTGCGATCTTATTGGTTGAAACGGGTGGTTTGATGGACCACGAGGGAAAGTGATGGACTAAGTAATACGAATCTGCTTTCAAGGGTTTCTGTTAGTCTATTATTACCTTCTTTGTCCACTATAAACACCCGCTTCCACCAATAGGATCCCTCGCGTTCCCTCCATATCCCTTTTGTCTCATTTGTCTATCAATTTCAACAATCAGACCGCTGATAACGTCACAAGGCGGTACATTTTCTCTTTTTGAGAAATATTTCCCCACAATTTCCCATGCAACCGAGAAAAAGAGGTTTAAAGTTTGGCTCCTGCATAAGACTCAATGTAAAAGATAAACTTCAAGTTCAATTTCTGCAAAATTTGCTCCAACAAAAAATTTGAATTTTTGGATATAGATAGTAGCGTAGTGGTTGCGTTCAAAACCACTCATGACTCAATTTTTTCCAAAATGTGGGTTGGTTCCTTTCTGCTTAACTCAGTCCAATTATCATTCAAGAAATGTCCACCTTGTAATACCTAAACCGGATAAACCCCTATATTTGCCTCAGCTGAAAGCTCTTAGATTTTTCCTGTGTACGAGAAGTATCTTAATTTATTTTGCGAGGAATGGTCTGTACTTTTAAAGGATGCCTGTCATTCCTAATACGTTCAATTTCGTATGATATTGTGCAACACCTCTGTTGTGAAATAGTTGCTTCAGGCGCCGCCGCACGGCGGGCAGCCGGCCAGCGCGAAGCGCGCATTGGCGCCTACAAACCTAAGTGGATACTTCAAGCATTGCGCAATGCGTTACCACTTAGTATCCACTTAGGTTTGTAGGCGCCAGTGAGCCTCTCGCGCTTGCAGCACGCCGCGCCGCTCCGCTCTGTTCTGCTTTAATATTTATACTCGCATACTTCATATATAAGGTATATTGTACATTCAATATTTTAAGGACAGAAATAAAACCAAATATTCACCAATGACAATTTAAAAAGATGATTCAAAAGGAGAAAGTAATAAAATTTAATTTAGAAAATGAGCAACCATAACAACACCTCCTTCTTTCTCAATTTCTCATTTCCATATTGTCAATGTAATTTTACATACCGACTGAAATACATATAACGCTTGGACCAAGTAACTGTTGCTTATTTTACGTGTGGGCGTAAACTACAGGACAAAAAAGGTGCGCGGACAAAAAATCGCTGACAAAATGTCCTGAAACCCTATTAAAACTAACACAATTATTTTCCATCAAAATTAACAATTTTTTGGTCGGAGGCAATGCCACTCTGGGAGTTTTCTGGGATAATTTTGAAGAAGCAACATTTTTACAACACTGCAATCACGCTGGTTCTTTTTCAATGCTGCCTTATTCTAAATAATCGGAACTTTTCCCGGAATCTTCTGAATCCCCGGAATTTTCAGCTGTTTTTGGAATTTCCTCGAAGTCTTCAGCTTTTCGCCAGTCTGACCAAAAAAACAATCAAATCTAGGGACTTTTTGATCAAATTTGACGATCTTCGCAACTAAATCCGGGCGCATTTCAGAATTTTTCCCCGGAATTTTTAAAAGATCGGAATTTTTCTCGGACTTTGGCAAATCGGAATATGTTTCCGGAAATCGGGATTATTTCGGAATCTTTCGATAAAATAAAATGGCAGCACTGTTCTTTTTTATTAATGCAATCCCATTAAGCTGTAGGTTTGTGTAAAATTTGCCGAATCCATCACTGGAAAAAAAACACACTGGATCTCGAGTCCAGACTCTTAAAAACATTGACAAGGAAAATGACTCTTGATTCAATCAGATTTAAGCTTAAATCAAAAGGAAATGATTCATTGATAATTGTGACCAGCGAAATGGTTTTTAAGTGTTTTTTGTTTTGTGTTTTTTGACCTTTCTATCCTAAGCTCTGATGATGGTCGCAAGCCGAAAAGCTTTAGCACATTTTTATTAAATAAATAAATAAGTGAAAACACATACAAAACCTTGGCTAATCTCTTCTTACAATCATATAAAAGGAAATCCGCTTAAATTAAGAGGCTTGGTTCTTGATTTAAGCTAAAATCTGATTGAATCAAGAGTACTTTTTCTTGTCGATGTTTTTAAGAGTCTGGGACTCTAGATCCAATGTGTTTCTCTCCCCAGTGATTGGTAAAATCTTTTGCAGAATTATAATCAAACCTAACAGGTTCTTTGGTCCTGTTGCAGATCATCAAAATGTCGGAGCGTCGCACGGTGCTCTCCCGGCCGCGGACGAAGGTCTACAACTGCAACTACGACATCGGCGAGCGGCACTACAAGTCGATGATCGACGAGCTGGACCGCAAGTACGGGACGAGCTCGACCGGGGCGCCGCCGCCCACGCCGCCGGCCCCCGTCTCGGACCGCTTCCGCGACGAGGACGCCCTCCTCAGGACCCGCGCCAAGACCCAGTCCGCCCTCGAGGACTTCGAGAACCTCATCGACGAGCGCCGCGCCAAGTTCGACCGCGCCTCCAGCTCCCGCAGCTCCTTCGACGACTTCGACAACGAGGTAATCATCCAGTATAGACTAATTGGACGTATTTCTGTCAAATGTACCTAAGCGCCAATTTGAGTTCCTTTTGAGGAATTTAGAATCCCGGATAGCGCGTTCTGTCAAACGGACCTAAGCGCCATGGAAAAGCATTGCGAGTATAGGACGGAATAAGCCGGACGCCCGATTCCGCCGCCAATCCAAGCCCCCCTCTACCTTCCTCCCCATATGGCGCTTAGGTCCGTTTGACAGAAATAAGTCCAATTTAGTTGCTACTGCGTACTGATGGTTGAAATTGTTAGATAAAGCTATGCACAAAGATGACAAAAAGGGATATGGAGGGATCCTATTGGTGGAAGTGGGTGGGCAATGCTGCCGTGCCAAGGAAGAACGCCGTATGTTTGTGAGGGATATTTGGCAAATCTCGATTGTTCATACGGCGTTTTTCCTTGGCACGGCAGAATGGACAAGGGCAATATGGCAGGAAGTCTGCGTCATTGTAAACCGAGATACGTGATCTGGTAGTTTAACTGTCGATATGTGTCTGTTCTACACAGTAACCATACTTTCTAGTACATCAACCCTGCACAGTAAGAAAAAGTAACCATAATTTTGTGTTAATATGGAAAGTAGTTGGTTGATTTTTTGTGTTAGTTTTCCCAGTGTTTAATCGACCAACTCTTTGGGTTGAGGTGGCCAAATCTTTGTGTTGAAAATCTGCGATTTCGTTAAAAATTAGTCGCCAGCCACCAGCGAGTGTTGAAATTGGTAGAGAAAGATGACAAAAAGGATGGAAGGATTCTATTGGTGGAGGCGGGTGGTTGCAATGGACAAAGGAGGTAGAAAATATACTTTAACGGCTTTTCACTTGTTATACACACAACGGTTATATAAAATATTTTCATAAATAACTTGTATATAAACTATAATTATAAAGGTTATTCGCGCAATTTAAAGAAATATTTGATTAATAACGGTCATACGACAACGGTTTCCTTTGAACATCTCGTTACTTAACCGTTATATATGTGTTATACTTTCGTTACATTTATTTATACAAATCTGCTACTAGGGTCCCAGAGTTTTTTGTGTATCTCAGTCTCTAACACTCATTTAATTTGTCCCCCAGGTATCGGCCTCCCTGAAGCGCCTCCGCGCCCAGAAGGCCCGGCTCAACAAAGAGGCGTCCCTCGAGTCCGAGTTCGAATCCACCTTCAACAACCGGATCAACGGCTCCAAGCTCAAGCTCTCCGAGAAGCTCCTCGACAGCGTCGGCATCAACGGGCGCATGCAGGAGGCCCTCGACGACGAGATCTTCACCAAGAGGCGTACGACAGCCGCCTCCACGTTCGACGACGCCCTCGAGGAGCCGCTCACCAAGTGGACGGCGCTCAAGCTCACCGAGGCCGACGACGAGAGCCTGGCCGCCCGCGCCCGGGCCAAGCAGTCCAAGGCCCGCCTCACCGACCTCGACGCGGAGATCGAGCAGCTCGCCGAAAGGGGCGCCGCCAGGGAGAGGAGGGCCCAGGACCTCCGCGCCCTCCTCGCCGAGAACGACCTCCTCTCCGAGGAGTCCATAAAAGTCAGCAAGAAGTTCAGCAATAAGAAGGTCGCTTTCTAGAGGCGAGGTTTTGGTTTTTGTGTTCGGTTTTCTAGGGTGTTTCCGAGCAGGTTTTGGGTGGAGGACCTACATCGGCGCACGGTGGACCGGGTCAATACTGCTGTGCTAAGGAAGAACGCCGTATGAACATTCGAGAGTTGCCAAATTTACTTGGATGAATGTTTATTTTTGAGGAGAGTTGTGAATATTTCTCCTTTAAATTTTCAGAATCATTTGGTGACATTGCGAACAAAATTATCTGAAAAATTGGGAGGAAAATATCCATGAGTTTACCAGAAAATTTGCGTTTTATGAAAGGAAATTTGGCAACGCCTGAAGGTTCATACGGCGTTTTACGGCAGTACTGCTGTGCTAAGGAAAAATGCCGTATGAACCTTCAGGCGTTGCCACGTTTCCTTCGATGAAACACGAATTTTCCGGTAAACTGATGAATATTTTTCTCCCAATTCTTCAGATGATTTAATTCGCAATTCCTCCTAAAGTTCCTGAAAATTTCAAGAAATAGCATTCTAAAACGTCCTAAAAAATAACCATTTAATCGAAGGAAATTCGGCAACTCTTGAATGCTCATACGGCGTTCTCCCTTAGCACTGTAGAATAGGAGGGGTCGGACAAAATTTGGAAACTTTAAAAGCCTAGTTCCGCACTTACAAAACTTTGAGGTTCTGAAAGTGGCTCCATTGGTTTCCGCGTGAAATTTTCTGCTTAAAGCAACCCTTGAAATTTAAAATGTGACGATAAAAACATGAAATTTTTCAGTATTAGTCAAAAATGTCATGTCCGACCTTTCTAATTGACTCGATCCACTGTGCGACGGCGAAACCGCAAAAATGTGCAACTCGGTTGTGGGATTACGAAGTTTTCGCTACAGTTTTGTTTTTTTAAAGGTGACCAAAGCAACATCTTGGCTTGAATTTTTCTCAGAATATTCTTTAAAAAGAGAGGAAAAATCACTTAAATTATTAAAGTACTTTAACTTGTATAATATGAAGTATGATAGGAAGTCTGCAACGCCGCAACCCGAGATATGCATTTATGCAGTTTCGCCATCGATATGAGAGAGTACGGACATGTTGGTAATTTGGAGGTTATAGGTCTTGAGGCCTGGATACACGCTCAAATTTCCGTCAATTTACGATAAAAATAATGACACAAATGGCGGTCGAGAGTTAACTAAATCTTTATCTAAAATTAATTAAAACAGCGTGTTGATTGAAATAAGCATGACATTAGCACGGTTGTGTGGAAATCAAATGACGGATGAGACCCATAGTTTCATCATCTACCATCAAATTTTTGCAGGCCAAAATTTTTTTTCAAAAAATTGATGGTAGATTGTGCGCACCAGTCACCATTTGATCGGAAATTGGTGGAAATTGAGCGTGCATCCAGGCCTTTGGACCTTTTACGCCCGAAAAAAACAGCCAACCTATGAACTCAAACTATCCAGAATGATTTATTATCACAATTTTTACGACCCGAAATCTAAAAAGCACGTAGTTGACTTGGTGTTTGCATACATATACTCATTTATGCGAGCGGATGAACATTATTGGCCATCTTGGTTAGAAATCGGAATCTGAAAATTGGATACGGCATTTTTCTGGTGTTTTCCGTGTCAGGCATTAGGCTGCCTTTTTGGGTCCTAAGAGCTCCATATTTTGATTTGTCCGTACCTCCCCATGTGGGTACTCTAAATTTGGGTGAGCGATGTGCCGAAGAAGCAAAATTTGATTACTACAGTCCAAATGTCGCAATAGATTGGAGAAATGCAATTTTTTTTAATTTTATTTTTTATTATATATATTTTGACATCCAATCCCGTACTCTGAGATACATCGTTCACTTAATTCGTTCATTTAAAGCCGAATTTGTTTTCACCTAGACTTTAATGATATGAATTCTATTGTGAAGAGCTTTTATCTATAAATAATCGCACGAAATCAACGAAGGTGAAAGAGGGCAAGTGGAGTGCCATTTGCGCTAAAATCATTGAAGGAAATGGTACGAAAAAGTAGCTTAAATTTCTGTTGTGACGAGACCATCTGAATCAAATCAGGTCTTAAAAAATTTTCAGAGAAATTTTCAAATTTTTATCTGAAAATATATTTTTCATATGTTTACATTAAAAATTTCGAGAAAATTCTTTCAAATCACACAGAAAATTCACGAGCAATTTTTGAAAATAATAAGCAACCTTCCTTGAGGGAATGAAAAATTGACAGTTAAATTTTTGCAAAGCTGCATTGCAATTTAAGTCCCTCTAACTTTTATCTTGTCAAATTACAGATTTTCTGACCAGATATTAGAAGTTGTATCTCTATGTTATTTTAGTCGCCACGTGTAAAAATAGACTTCCATCACCAAAAAAAAAAAAAAAAAAAAAATGTTTTTATTCTATCGATGAAAGTGAAGTTAATATTAATATGAATTACTGCAACTTACGTCTTATTCAAACGACCGAACGCGAGATAGAGATATTCAGTAGAGTCTCAAAATATCGAAAAATAATAGCTTTACATATGAAAGGTTGAGATAATATCGTTCGGCAAAGCACATGATCCTTCAGTTTCAGATACTGGTAGGAAAAATGTGTAAAAATTTTAGCTTGATTTCAATTCGACAGTCCTTTAAATTAAGCTCAAATTTTAAGTGAAAGGAGGTTTGGGAAAATCAAGCTGGGCATTTACAGCGAGGTAAGATTAATACACGCTCATGAAAATTTTTCTGTGATAGAGATAACATTTCTCTTTTGAATTATTTTATCACCTAAAAATTAACTAGGGAATGGTCTATGTCGATGAGCCAAACCTTTTAACCCAAACTAGAAAGAAAAATTGCACTCCATGAAAAAATAAATTTGAAACTAAAAGCGAAACTTCCTAAAATATGAACTGTTTCTACTTTTTATTGGTCCTATATCAGTTTTAAGGTTTTGCTATCATTATTTTTTTTGATGGGTTTAATTTGGTTGTTCATCAAACAAATGTATACGCTGAAGTAAGCGAATGTCATATACTTAATTACTATGTTTGTACCATCTGGTACTTACCAACACCGCTGAAAAGTGGTAATCGTGTGCTCACGTGTAGGAAAATAATTTTGTTCAATTTTTTGTATTGAACTTTTGTACAATAGCATGTTAAATTGTAAGTAAATTATAAACTTTTATTACATTTAAGAATAAAATTGTAAATAAAAGATTCGACGAATTCAACACTTATTCGCATGAACCCTACCACCAACCACTTGATCAATTTCAGCGAAATTTGACTTGCTTCCCTTTAGCTTCATCCAGTGCAAATACTCGTCATTGAAAATAACTTTATATATGCACGGATAAAAATATTCGAATGAAAGTCTTTTCAGAATTCATCCTCCTTCTTTCAATAAACAGTATTTTGATGCTTTTACAAGGAGAGATCGGAACACAAAAGGAACAAACTTTTCAATCGCATAACATGACGAAATTAGTTGAGTATGCGATTATTCTCAACTAGGTTCTGAGTTTTTGGCGCGTGGGGCGTGTTTTCTTACGAGACAAGAAATCTTTAATCTACTTACTAATGAGTTGGCTTTGAAAATTCAATGTCACCATCGAATTCCCTGTGAATTGTTGTCAAAGAAACACAGAATTTTTGTTTTGCTCAAATTCTAACCCTGTCTAAGGGCCCATTTTTCTTTTCGTCGAAGGTTGGCGGATCCACCTACCGGAAGCTGGAAATTTGGGCTATCGAGGCTATTTATCGTAAAAAGCCGCGGCTGCTTGTGAAGGTGAGTGGGGGCAAATTAATTATGATCAACACCTCGTTTCTTCGAGTGGGCAATAACTCATTTTATCGTGAGCGTGTGTGGGATAATGGGCAGCGCTCAAAAACACAATAAAACGCGAGAAGTGGATTAAGTTTATGGGGGGACGGGATATTCCGTCAAGAAACAAATTAGGGTGTTGTCATTCATTGCACAAAAGCGTTTTTGGACTTTATGTGTGGTGACACAACCAATGGGAACAATCTCGGACACGTCACTCGAGCTTTGCCGTGGTACGATAAAACGCCGTAAGAACCTTCAGGCGTTGTTAAATAGACCACTAGACAAGGTACGAATTTCAGCATTCTGATACATGTTTCTCAACCAAAATTTCACGTAAAACACGATACGCATAACGAAAATTACCAAAATCAACTCCTGACGAAGATATTTAATGATTCTTGATGCGTGAATTCAAACCTTCCGCTCATGAAAACTCAATGCTCTACGTGATTCACATCGCGCGCTAAATGTTTATCGTGACAGTCTCTGCGATGTAAAAATCTTCAACTTCAATCTTGACACTTTGGCTCAGCTATAGCAAATTACCAATAGTATAAACGACATATGGTGGAAAATGAACATTGCGCGATTGAGAAGCTTGCTGAAACCGTTGTAGTGCGCGATTTGACTCACGTAGAGCTTTGAGTTTCTTGTGAGCGGGCAGTTCAAATTCCTCGTAATCAGTGCGAAATAAAAACGTTAATATCTTCGTTAGAAGTTGATTTCGGTAATTTTTGTAGTGTGAATCGTGTTCTACGTGAAATTCTGGTTAAGAAACATGTATCAGATTGCTTAAATTCGTACCTTGTCTAGTGGTCCATTGGACCAAACAGACAAAACAAAAAAAACAAGCAAACCCTCATTCTTCCAAGACATTATACATTTTCATCCAAAAACGTCGTGAGCAATTGTTGTTTGTATTTACATGTGGGCTAATTAACTTTGGGTCTCAACTGGCACGTGCCGAAAAAATTGCTGCCACGTAGCTCGGTGTGGATGATCACAAAGTTAACAAGGCGTTTTTTCTGAACTTGGTTTTAAAATTTATTGACAATGCTTGCTCAACCAACCATCAGACATTCTGCTCTCCATGACCATGACAATGGTGTTAACGATCATGGTGATAGCTAAGCGCAGTTGCAAATGTACAAGTAAAGGGTTTTGTGTGCTGTTTAGTGAAAAAAAACATAATTCGGCAATGCTGCATTGATGATCATTGAAGATCTTTTCGTGCCACTGAGCATCTATGGTGATGTTTTATTGGTTATAGGACATTTCGTCAACGATTTTTTGTCCGCGCACCTGTTTTTTTCCAGTAATTTACGTCCACGCGTTTTTTCGGCACGGGAGTTTTGTTCCAAGTGACAGTTGAGACCCAAAGTTAATTGGCCCACGTATAAATACAAACGACAATTGCTCAAGACGTTTTTGGATGAAAATATATAATGTCTTGGAAGAATGAGGGTTTGCTTGTTTTTTTGTTTTGTCTGTTTGGTCTAACGGAGAATAATATATAGTTGAGAGTTTTGGTAAAAATGGGGGAGCGTCAATTCCATGAGACAAAATTCACTAAAACTCTCTACACCTCTTTGGTGTAACAGGACTTAATTATCTTTCAAGAAATTCTCACCTTGTTATACCTGAATCGGATAAACCTCTATATTTGCCTTAGCTAAAGGCTCTTAGATTTTTCCTGTGTCCAATAAGTATCTTGATTTATTTTACGAGGAAAGGTCTGTACTTTTAAAGGATGCCTGTCATTCTTGATACGTTCAATTTCGTATAATACTGTGCAACACCTCTGTTGTGAAATAGTTGCTTCAAGTGCCGCCGCACGGCGGGCGTGCGGCAAGCGCAAAACGCGCATTGGCGCCGGCTACAAACCTAAGTGGACACTTCAAGCATTGTGCAATGCGTGGAGTATCCACTTAGGTTTGTAGGCGCCAGTGAGCCTCTCGCGCTGGCAGCACGCCGCTTAGCTCTGTTGCTCTGTTAGGCTTTAATATTTATACTCGCATACTCAGCGTTTTTTAACTCATGATTTTGAAATGTTGTCACACTCTGCGTTGATTATTCTCATTTAAATTGATGGGAAAAAATATGCATCAATTTATCAAAGAAGAATAATAATATAATCTGTGTTTTTTTAAATATTGGTGGCTTCGTGTCAAATTTAATGATTTACAAAGCACTTAAATGTTTTCTTTTACATTTTGTGCTTTTATTGTGCTGCAGCGAGGTGTACGCGCGACCAAACGCTCAAAATTTGACGTATTTTACTCTAAAAGATCTATGCCCAAATGGGTTCAAACTAAAGATTGCGTGCTTCTTGGTTTTTTTCCCTCTTTTATTCATTTTTGCAGTTTATGTCGGCACAACTGCGGCTCATTGAGATTAATGTCACTTGGAAAAGGTTTTAAAAATATTTGTCACGTTTTAAAAATATAAATGTTTTCAAATAAAGTAATAATTTCGTAAAGAAAAAATTAAAAAAATAAAAAAAAGTACCTGTACATATTTAAGGTGTATTGTACATCGAATATTTTAAGGATAGAAAGAAAACCAAATATTCACCAATGACAATTTAAAAAGATGATTCAAAAGGAGAAAGTCATAACATTTCATTTAGGAAATGAGCAACCATAAAATAATATAATTTTACATACCGACTAAAATATAACTCCTGGACCAAGTCACTGTTGCTTATTTTACGTGTGGGCGTAAACTACTGGACAAAAAAGGTGCGCGGACAAAAAATCGTTGACATAATGTCCTGAAACCGTTTTATTTTCACGGGGGTTCTTCATGAAAAATATCCATGTTAAAAGGCGGGGTACCCTACTCTGATCTGTAATGAAACCTCTTTAAAATGGATCAAAACGTGCTACAATGTTGCAATTTCGCCCAGTGACTTTACATACATCCCAGTTGCACCTCCTGAGTTTTGGCGACGGAGATTGGAACTTTGAACTGTCACCAAATTACAACTGAATTCCAGTTTTTTTTAAGGTTCCCCCTCGCACAGCATGAATTCTTTCGATGCGATCTTTAAAACTCCTTCAAAATCAGTGAACGCAAAAAAGTATACATGCAGTAGAATATATGATTGAGAGAATATTAATAACCGCTGATGTAACTATTAGCACAAAAACTTGTACCTCAATAATATGAAAATTTCTTTTCGTTTCTTTCGTTTCTTGAAAATAAGTTATCTGATGTAGGCTGTTGCTTAATACGATTTATTTTTCTTTAGGGGAAGGGCGGTGGTCTCACGATTTTCAAGGAAGTTTGCAATCGATCAGTGCGGCCATGCATCTGTAAAAAATACACTGTCCAGTAACATTTGGGAACAGCAGATGTCACATTATTCTTTTTTGAGAAACAGTAGTCATCAGTTGTCTCCAACTTTTCCCTCTCCTCTTCACAAGTGCTTTTAAAACCAACCTTTTTCTGGGAAACCAAGATGTGGTTTCTCATGAAAGTTTTCTGGGTAATATCGATAGTCATGATGAGGCCTAATAATTATTTTAAAACTTTTTTCAGCCATCCCCATGCTGAAAGAGACTCTTTAAATTGGGCTCAAATCTTCACGGACAACAAAAAGAGGATCTATAAGTATATAGTTATTTTGACCTACGGCAGGGAATTGTGTTAAGAAAGTTGCGGACCCAAGAAATGCTCAAGGCAAGAGAGATTTTCTGGCGAAGATCGACTGGAAACTCAAGGAGAAACATTAACAGAAATGGACGTATTTCTGCCAAACGGATGTACATTAAGAAATGAGCCCCGAGACCCATAGAAATATAAGCATGATGGGGCTCACGTCATGATTCACATAGTTCCGTTTTGCAGGAATACGTCCAAATGAACATGTCCGAGAGATCATGGGCGTTGAAGAGGCCATTGCGCATATCTTGATCAAGCAGTTGGTATGGTTTAGACAATAATAGACATAATGCTGTATCTGATGAGTTGGAAATTGTAGTTAAATTCAGGATGTCTACTGTTACCCTGTTATTCGAATTCCTTGCTTTTTCAGTGCCTTCTCCATACTTTTACAAAAATTCCTTTTTTCGGCGTTTCTCAAAAATCCTTGCTTTTTCCTTACCTTTTCTTTACTTCCTCCGTACCTTCCAAGCAATTTCAATTGCATTCGGATTGGGAAAGTGGAATGATGGAATGAAAAAGGAATAAATCAAGAAACACAAGGAATCAAGCCGAACTGAACCGGGAACTTGATATAGGATTATGTTAGGAAATTGTATAACCCCCAGGGTACTTTTTGGAGTTTATCACGAAAATCTCGAATGTCCCTAACTTTTCACGAAAAATCCGTACCTATTCCGTACTCCCATAACGACCTTCCGAAATCCATGCTTTTTCAGTAAGTTTGAA